GAGAGACAAGTGATGTGGAAGCCAAAATAATTATGTAGACATCTTATATGCCTAATTCCGATGGGATTAAAAATATTATCATATAAATAGTACCTATACAGAAATCACATTAAGAGATGGCACAGTGGCATTTGTTGTATCCGCCTTACAAACGTACAGCACAGAAAATGTTACATTCACAATAATACATTTTACTCTGCAATTTGCCATGTTGTAGTTTATAAGACCGAGACAACAAATGCCCGTGTGACGTGCTCTTAATAATATGAGAATTAATCTACAACAAGATATCTTTACCAATAGCAACCTTTGACATCCTTACAAAATATTATATTTTAAAAAATCTATAGAAACACATATTTAATGCATCAAACTGTGGCAATCTATAACTTTGTAATATTTCATATTTGTTGCCTGAAAGTGGAAGACCCCATACTTAATATCGTTTAAACTTTAATAAAACGTATTTATTATAATTTTACGTTACTGCCTACATGAAATACGTTACTATCTATAGAGAAGTTTAGGTTGTCTTAAACATGTGCACTTACAATATGTATTATGTATAATTATATTTTACCTTTGAGTTTGAGATGTAAATATAATTTTGTATATATTAATTTTTAGTGATACTGATTCCTCGTCTTAACATGCTAAAAACATTTCATGCTATTGAATATTCATCAAAACGTTTATTATAACTGTAGGTATTCATTAAATATAAATTAAAGCATTTATAGCAATAAGCTCGTTGTCGAAGAATATCGTTGGTTAGGTAAGAAAATGATTTAAATTAAAAACTTTTTATAACGAATTTGCTTTAATCTGAGTGGTTTAATTTCTCATATAACAACCCGAACGAGTAATGACGTAAATTACCAATATATTTTTAATTTGAACAGCGTCAAAGTCTTGATAATTTGAATACATATAATTTTTAAAACGAACAGTGTATTATGATATACTAGCTGACACGGCAATGCTTTGCTTTTGCTAGGTTTTTGTGATTGTTCAACTCTTTTTGGGTGTAACACGCTTCGGAAGCAATATCTTTTTAAGTCTAAATGATATGGTAGATCGCCGACCCCGAGTGGTGCGTACGTAAGTGTATAATTTAACTCTAAAATGTCAAAAAATTGGTCCACCGAAACCGTGGTACGAACTCGAGACATTCTGTACTAAAAATACACAGGCTTATATAATTATTATTATTAATGCCATAATTATTATTATTAAAACCAATAGCAACCATTTATAAACAAAAATTGCCATCGTAAACATCAAAATACCTGTTTGAGAACCACCCCGGATTGGACCTCTCATTTACCTTTGTGCTAATATGTGTAAAATGTAGCCTATCTTCTTCTCCAAGGTCCAATCTATTTCTGTACGAAATTTCATCGAAATCGGATGAACGGTTAGGAGTGCATAAAGGACATAGTTATAGGTAAAAAAAATGTTTGTCTTTTTTATATTATATAGAGATTGTTGACTATAATATTATATATGTATATCTCTATACACTATACGTGTCAGTGTGTCACTCACTTCGATCATTTTAATAGCATATATAAATCGCGTACATATAACTAGTAAGTAGTAGGTTCCTACCTATTACATTTTATATACATCTAACATAACTGTAGGTACACCGTACACATATTATACAACTTGGAATATATTCAATTTTAATTAATATCACACGTTGTAGACCTTCATATGAAGTATCCAAATCTGCAATAAAACGTGGTACCATATTTTTGGACACGTTGGGGGATGATAAAATAATCCATGTCACACGTCCATACAACATATTATGCTCAGTTCATTTATAATGTTATTGAATTATTAAAATAGATTTTTTATCTATTTTAATACCTATATAGATATATATATTATATATATATATATATATTTATATATTATATATCATTAAAATCCTTTTAAAATTGCACGGTACAAGATTAAGTTGTCGATATTATGATAACGCAATACGCAAATGTGTTGTACTGTACCTACTAGCTAATATGAAAATTAATAAACAATTTTTTTAAAACAAATTCAAAATCAAAACCAAGAATGTTTATTTTATACCTGCTGGGGGGCTCTACCATCCCCTCCCACCATCATGACGTGTCCTTCTATGGTTGGGAGATATATTATTATATTATTATATTCAATCCATTTATAATAATTATATAATAATATAATATGAAATATACACTATAGATATTCGGTTAAATAGTCATCGGCCGTAACCCGTAGGAAACAACGTCAAACAAATGTGACACGTGACATTTTTTACCTATATACGGCAAGTTAAGGTTTCTATTTGTTAGGAGGAATCGGATTATCGGTTCTTTCGTCGTAATGTGAAAAAAGCCGACTGGTACATCTAAGAATACTAAACGCGAGTCGTTTGCTAATCTGTATGCAGAGAATAATAATTGTGATGATTGAGTAGTGAGTAGCACCCGTATTCGAATCCACGGCCAGTGTTGAGACTTATCTAGATAAATTTATCTAGATAATTATCTAGATAAAAAATTACTCATCTATTATCTCATCTAGATAACTATTGTGCCATTTATCTAATGGTTATCTTAGATGACATATTTGCTTATCTAGATGAATTTATCTAGATAAATTTATTTAAATTATAATATTCATTTTTCACGAAATATTCATAAATTATTCATTTTTTTTTTTTACTAAAATTGTTCTTACAGAACACTATCCAATCTGCAATCAGTACATGTTATTAATATAATATTATACTCATAATATTACCATATTCCCATGTTTCACCAGCAAATTTTAAGTTGATACGTACTTTGAGGATTGAGACATTATTTTACGAAGTTTTTCGACAAAATTGAATTGTGGGCCTAACTGCAAATTTGCAATTTAAAAATACTAAAAAAAAAATTTTTATCTATAATATTATCTAGATAAAAGTTAGATTATCTTTATCTTATCTAGATAAATGTAAAATATATTTATCTTTATCTGTATCTAGATAATTTTTTATAAAATCATCTGTATCTTATCTAGATAAAATTTTCGTTATCTATTCTCAACACTGTCCACGGCCTCTCTCACATTGTCTGCACGTTGTTACAGTATAAATAGGTAGATACTATAGGTATACCCATGGGCCATGGTGATGTATCATGTATGTTACATATTCTAAAAATATGCGAATGTTCTCATTCACCGTAAGTAAATAATGTAAGTATACCTATATGTATAATATAATATTATTCACGGGCGTCGTGCATAGAATTCATCGTTATTTTGATGAAATACACGACGGTTTATACGTATCTATTGCGTATCGTTACTACTACGAACCCGGGTGGTCACCCATCCAGGAGCTAGTAGCAGCGAGCGTTACTTACGCATTGCGCAACTGGTAACAACCAACTCGACGCCCCATATAATTTATAGACAAGGTGATTCTTATTTAAAGGTAAACATTCATTTTTGTTTAAATAACTATCAATATTTTTGGTAATATTTAAATTGTATAATTTGAAGTTACTACCGTAACTCATTAAAAAATATTATGTATTATTATTTAATCCTTATTATTTTTAAAAGTTTTACTTTTTTGAATAGTACTTAGCATTTTAGATTCTGAGCGGGATGATGAATATAGTGGTATTATAATGATGTGTTTTTTTTTAAAATTGTATTTGTGTCTGTTACCTTTTATGACAGTAATAGTACTTAGATTTTCTTCAACAGCATCTTTTCTGATAAGAAAGAGAAAATCTATTTGGTACTTTTTTTTTTTTTGGGGGGGGGGGGGGTCTAAAGGAAACATAAAAAAAAATTAAGGAAAACCGGCAATTTTTACGGTTTTAGTTTCTGAGTCGAGCGATGAATGTATTGACTGTGTAATGTTATGAATGTAATGATGTGTGTTTTAGATTCTGAGCGGAGCGAGTAATTAATTAGTGTAAATTTCAAGTATCTAGAGTTATTCGTTTTTTAATTCAATCTTGTAAAAACTTCAAACTTCAAACTTTCATATCCATTTAATTTTACTTTCTGATAAATATTTTTTTTTTTTTTTTGATAGTGGTAGACAAACTTATGAGAAATCTTGTATAAAATGTTCAAATCTTAGTTTTAAAAAGAATATAATAATAACTCATTAACTCATAATAATTTGCACATTTTAATTTCATAATTTTAAGTATTTTGTCAAAATTCGAACTCTAAATGATTATAAAAAATAATCGTGGCTATGATTTTCGATATTTTTCAACTGTCATGATAACAATATATTAGGACTTAGGAGCCTTAGAAAAAAAAAATTAAAAAAATTGGAAACTGAAAATGTCTGTAAACAGCTCAAAACAAGTCAAAATATTTCATGTATCTGCGGTCATTTGTTTAGTTACGATTTTGCGTAAAAATTCCCTTTTTCCTTAATTTTTTTTTGTTTTCACCGGCTCTTATGAAAATTACTGGGGAATTTTAAATGTTAACCTACCCAAACACCAACTAGATTCACTTTTCCATCAAACAAGATACTGAAGTTGGTAGAAGAATTATGTTGACTACTTATTGTTTACACAGACACAAATAAAAAAAATGTCTGATCAAAACCTTTCTCTCAATGAAGTTTTATAGCTACTTCCATTAACATTACACGGCCGCCGCAGAAACGCAAGTTTTTATTTCCGTTCTATGGGTACACGCATACTGTTCAGTCTTGCATATCGATCCGTTGACGATCATTTTAGCAATAATCCTAACCAGCATCAAGGTTGATTACCTGCTGCCAGTGTGACTTAAAGACGTTACATATATAGCAGATACATAGTGTGAGTAGTGCTTTACGCAGTGGTCTACCGAGTGCTGAATATGAGTGCATCGTCTCTAATCCGTATTACCCGGGGTACTACTAATTAAAATACTTTTTCGTTCTCACCATTTTCACCCAAAGTGGTACCTAGTAAACGTACTCTCCTTCTAATGCTGATTTAATGTCTGATACTGCTGAGTTGCGTTATAAGTCTTTATCTTCGAACAAGTCAGTGCTGGCATCATTGTCTGATCTAACAAATAATTTCAATAGATTATCATCTCTAGTGTCTGAGCTTTTAGTTGAAAATACGAAATTGCTCTCTGAATTAGATGATTTGAAGTTGAAGTCGAATAATTCGGACGCAACAGGGTCTTCTGTGCAAACACCTGTCCTTGTATCTCATATATTTCAAGAAACATTTGAGCTTGAGAGATGCGCCTCCGACGCTATCGTCTATGGTATCACTGAATCTGCTCATGCAACTATTTTCGAACGTATCTTAGATGCAGAACCGCGATCAATCGTATTTTTAGTTATATATTCTCGCGACTGCTAGAGTAATACGTCTTAGTAAATCTCGTGAGGGCTCTTCTCGACCCATAAAAATTATATTTCATACTGAGAAAGAAGCTGATAGTCTTATTGAATCCCATAGCAATTCTAAACGGAATGGTTTTACTTTTCCTGATGGTTTTAGAATTGTTAAGAACAAGACCATCTTACAACTTCAACTTTTACGATCATGTCATACTGAACTGGAGCTCAGAAACAAAGATGGTGTATAGGGTCTTAGAATTGGAAATGCAAGTGTTGTCCCAAAAGTCTCTTCTACTCAGTCAAAAAATCTACCCGGTCCAGTCAACAAAAAAAATTCTTAATACTTCGGCTATCGATCTAACGGTCTCGGGATTCTATCAGAACTGTCATGACTTAATTACGATACTTTCAAATTTTAGATGTAATACTTCCTGTTTTAATTTTATATATTTTGTTTTCACCGAGACATGGTTAACTAGCTAATTCTATAAATAACTGAACTAGGGTTACTTAGTTATAATATTTTTAGATTTGATCGATTAGTTTTTCTAGTAACTATACTTGTGGTGGAGGTGTCCTCGTTGGTGTACGTAAGGATATTCCCTCATACCTTATTACTGTGTCCCAGCATTACATTGAACAAGTTTTTGTACGCTCCAAGTTAGTGTCATTGTCACGGTGGAGTCTATATTCCTCCTCAATCGCCTTCTTTAATATATTATAAGACTCATAATATCGAATACATTGTTCATATTGTCAACAAATATCCTGGTTCTTTTGTTTTTTGTGGTGATTATAATATACCTGAAATATCTTGGGATAGAGATATTATCGGCTTAACATAATCTTTCTCTTTTGTATCCAATGCACAATGTATTCCTGAATAATTTGTTTTTTTTATCAGCTAAATGCTGTATTCAACAGTTATGGCTTCTTACTTCATCAAATTTTTTGTAATAATCCCAATTTAAGAGTTGAGTGCTCTCTCAAAACCTGTTGTTCCTGCAGATAAACCATCCTCCTTTGAACATTAAGTTACCCAACTATCAAAGTTCTCCCACCTGTGTAACTACTGGAAATTCATTAATGGTAATCACTCCGACAATAATATTCCCAAACAGCTGTCCTTCAATGAATCGGTCTCATCGGATTAACAGGAGCTGCTATCGCCTCTTACTTCTTCTCTGTGTATTCAAATGATCCGTCTGAACTCAATATCGATTACCTGAATACTCCACCATTTGATCTACCTAACAATATTTTCATCAGTGTTGTTGATATCTTCAATAGCCTATCTGCACTTCATGGCTTATCGTCCGTTGGCTCTGATGGTCTCTCCTGTGAGTTTTGTTCCCGCTGAGATTTCTTATCTCTTATCCTCTATGGATTATTTTTAATAGATCCTTAAATGAAGGCATTTTTCCTTCAATGCTTAAATTTAGTTTTATTACCCGATTCTTAAATCGGGTAGTCACTAGTCCTTCATCAATTTTAAATTGCAGACCTATTTCAATCCAATCTCATATTTCAAGAATATTTGAATCTTTTGTTTTAAAAGAAATTCAACGTCCAGTTAATAATATTCTAATGGAGGAGCAACATGGGTTTCGTCCGGGTCGTTCCACTAAAACATGCAATCTCCTATTTAATATTTTTTTATTTGAATCGTTCCAACAACGGTTGCAAGTTGATGTGGTTTATATCGACTTCAATAAAGATTTTGATCTAGTAATCATAAGGTTCTGATTAAAATTCCTAGCAGTTATGGTTTTGGTCATGGCTAACCTCTTATCTTAGTGATCGATATCAATGGGTAAATATTTTTGGAACCAAATCTAATCGGTTCTTAGCATTTCTGGCGTTCCTCAAGGTGGACACCTACCCCCCCCCCCCATTTGTTTTCTCTTTTAGTTAATAATATCAGCCTTGTATTGCGTCATTCTCGTATTCTATATGCTTCGCTGATTATATTAAACTCCACATGCGTGTTGGTTCTATAGATGATTGTCTTCATCTCCAAAATTACCTTGATAGCTGTGTCAACTAGTTTAAAAATATTGGCTTATCGTTAAATATATCTAAATATAAAATCTTAACTTACATAGTCGTTCACCAATATTTCATATAATATTTCCTATAATATTTTAGGTTCTGATATCTTACGTGCTAATACATCTGTTATTGATCTTGGTTTTAAGCTCATTTTAATCAAAGAAAATTCTTGGATTTATCAACAGGCTGGCTAGGGGTTTTAAATTAGATTCGTCATTTAAATTACCATATTGTATTATTGTACGACATATATTAGAATATGGTGTGTATGTTTGGAGTTCTTTTACTGCTAATGACTCTCTCCAACTTGAAAGAATTCAGCGCTGGTTCCTTAGTTGTGCTGGTTTCTTGTTTGGCATTGAACACCCATTATACGATTATTCCGCTGTTGCTGCTGAGCAGGAACTGTCTACAGATTAAGACCACCATCCCCCGTCCGAAAAAATTATTTATTTATTTTTGAATTGTTCTGATAGTAGTAAGTCAAGGGGTTAAAGTGAGGGGGCGTAGGGGGAACTGAATCCACCTACCGCGGACGGCGGTTAAAAAGCATCCCCTTAAACAAATTAGGATTTCATACATTAGACATTATACATTAAATTATGTATAAAACGCTTAAGACTATATGGAGACATTAGTCCCCTCTGGAATTTTTTCCACTTTAAGCCCTGGGTAAGTCTATACAATATTATATGAATTATGAACCTATACAGCAACATACAATATTATATTGACTTACGTTCTAAGGAAAAATATTAATTCCTTAGATAACCTTAATATATAAGTATAATATTATGTTTATAATTGCTTATAGAAGATTATCAAAAGATATTCTCAGTTTTGAACATATTTATTTTTATTATATCACAGGCTAATTAACTTTTTTTCACAAATATTGATCTGATTTTACATTTGGTATGTCAGATTCCACCCGGAATTATATTAATTAATTATTATAGGCACAATTTAAATCTATCACTTATTTAATACAATGTTCCTCGTAAGTTTTTATAATAGCAGTTAAGAAGTATTAAAGATACATAGGCCACATTTTTTTTTTTGGAAGCATTTAAAGTTTAAATTATGACAACATTTTATCAAAATCACGAACATTTGAAAATTATTTTTTAGTTAAACATGTGTAAAATGTTCTATTTTTATAGCTAAATATTAAATATTTAAAACATGGTTTTTCATAAGTATTTCATACAGTACCTTACCAAAAAATATGGAAATTATATTATCTAGGTTTTTTTTAATAGATAGTTAAGTTCAAATTTAGACGAAATTGTTTCAACGGAGAATAACGGTTTTAATTATTTTATTATAAATTAAAAATATTATTCGGGACTTGAAATTTTTAAAGTATTTCAAATTAAATCAAAAATTAATTCAACCTATTGTTTTAATAACGGTAAAATAAATTAAGTACTTTAATAGCTATATAATATCATAAAATAATATACTTATAGTAATGTAGGTTGTAGGTATACTAATATAACAGATTATCCTTCGAATTGTTTTTGGTGTACAGAGATCTTATATTATGGAATTCAAATTTAAAACACCCATTACAGACCACAGTGAACCACACGACACCATTACTTCAGCAGAGCCTTAAAATTTAACCTTAAGTCAGTAAAGTCCTAACAATTATTATAGTTTAAGCAAAATTTATCAATATTTTATTATATTTTTTTTCTACATTGTTTTTTAATATACCTTCATTGTAATTGTTCATGATTTTCCCTGCAAATTCTCTGAAGTTTCAAATACGCCCCTCCCTCAATCAGTACTCAGTTTATAATCTGAAGGAGACAAAGGAGTGCTGTATGAAACTTCCGTATAATTCCTAAAAGTAGTAGGATGAAAATAACAAGCCATTGCAAAGCACTCCATTATATATTTATCTTATACATTTCTATCACTGAGGATTTAAAACATAATTGTTATTATTATTTATTTTCACGTGCAATACGTTGCACTGCACGTCGTTCCTGCAGAAAAGTAATGCAGAATTCCTTTGAGTACTGATATAGGTGTATGTTAATAAATACTATGAAACTTTTGCAGTTTACACTAAAATCAAAAAGTGAAATGTTTAAATTGAATTACAGTCTGGCGAACGTAATAATTATGAATTACCCAAATTAATTCGATACGCTTTCTCCAGAATTTTTAGTTGCATAGATAGGTAGCTACACGGTTTTTTTATAATTTTTTTAAATATCACGTTAAATCGGATAGTCAAATCATAAATGTGTACCTATGTGCTAGAGTAACATGTAATGATTAGTGATTAGGATTGATTTAAGTGAGTACTACGAGTACCTATCACCTATGCGATACTACAGGATCATTATTTTATAAGTGGACAAGATTGGACAACCACACGACTCACACAGTCACACTCCTTATACTTAAAAGTAAAATAATTAAAGCATTGTTGCGGAATATGCAGATACTGATGAATTTGACAACCATCCAAAAATTAAGTCTTTGTAAATAAAAACATTAAATTAATGTAAAATATACTGTTTATTTAGTTGTAATTTGTTACTTTTAGATTCTAAGCTTCTAAGCTTAGATTCGAATATGTATTGGTTTTACAATGATGTGTACACACCACACTACACACACTAGGTATTGTGCGTATTAAAAAATTTGATTTTGTAAATCTAGATAATATGTATAGTCATATTTTCACGTTTTAGTTTAGGAGTAGAATATTTTTTACAATCTTAACATCAAGGGTTGTTCTGGTGGCATTATCTAGTTTTTATATTTATGGGGATTAAATATTGAAAATTGCCAGAACTTTTCAAAATAATTGAGAAAAACTACGGGAAATGGGAATATTAACTGTGTTGGCGTGTTGCGTTACATTATTATTGCTTTCGACAAAATCGAATTTGTTTTTCATTGTAATTCAGAAAATAATAATCGTATACCTAAGCTTTAGATTTT